TCATGCATATGCATAGATCCCATCACACATGCTAATGTGCGTTTATCCTGCGGAGGCGTTTAATTCAGAATGCTGTTGTAGTGCTAACGATTCAGACAGTTTCTAGGAGGCACATTCTCCATTAACAACTTTCACAGTCTCGTCCGCACACTCTCCACAGGTGCTCAGCCGAGCCTGTACACTGCACTGGCCGTCTAAAACTGACAGCGCTGACTGAGATAGCCAACTACTATCCTTAGTCGCGCGATATCTCGTGGAGACGTTTAGCGACGACGGCGACGAAAAGACAGCAACAACGAGACGAGTCCATTCCCAGAACCGGCAGCCTCGAGCCCCCCGCTCTCGGCTCATTTTATGCTCCCAGCACGGCCTGGCTCTCCGCCTTGACCGCGCCTCCCTTCTGGAACCCGCTAGCAGGTTCAGGGGCCTCCAGACGGGGTCCTCCGTGACCCTTGCCCTAGTTCCTCCCCTCTGCTCGCACACCGTGCACACCCTCACCGGCCTGTGTGCTGTCTGTCCACCACAGTTTCCGCTGCTGTCCACCAGCCGGCGCTATTCCACTACACTATCATGTTTCAAACCACACGCCGTCTCAATGTGACTTCACGCATAGTCGTGAGGGGGATGCGAGGCACGTGCGTGCGTGATGCGCATGCCCATTACCTTGGACGGCAAGAGTGAATCCTTTTACAGTGAGGGAAAAAAAGTATTTGATCCCCTGCTGATTTTGTACGTTTGCCCACTGACAAAGAAATGATCAGTCTATAATTTTAATGGTAGGTTTATTTGAACAGTGAGAGACAGAATAACAACAACAAAATCCAGAAAAACGCATGAGACCAAAATGGAGCTTTTTGGCATTAACTCAACTCGCCGTGTTTGGAGGAGGAGGAATGCTGCCTATGACTCCAAGAACACCATCCCCACCGTCAAACATGGAGGTGGAAACATTATGATTTGGTGGTGTTTTTCTGCTAAGGGGACAGGACAACTTCACTGGATCAAAGGGACGATGGACGGGGCCATGTACCGTCACATCTTTGGGTGAGAACCTCCTTCCCTCAGCCAGGGCATTGAAAATGGGTCGTGGATGGGTATTCCAGCATGACAATAACCCAAAACACACGGCCAAGGCAACAAAGGAGTGGCTCAAGAAGAAGCACATTAAGGTCCTGGAGTAGACTAGCCAGTCTCCAGACCTTAATCCCATAGAAAATCTGTGGAGGGAGCTGAAGGTTCGAGTTGCCAAACGTCAGCCTCGAAACCTTAATGACTTGGAGAAGATCTGCAAAGAGGAGTGGGACAAAATCCCTCCTGAGATGTGTGCAAACCTGGTGGCCAACTATAAGAAACTTCTGACCTCTGTGATTGCCAAAAAGGGTTTTGCCACCAAGTACTAAGTCATCTTTTGCAGAGGGGTCAAATACTTATTTCCCTCATTAAAATGACAATCAATTTATAACATTTTTGACATGCGTTTTTTCGGATTGTTTTGTTGTTATTCTGTCTCTCACTGTTCAAATAAACCTACCATTAAAATTATAGACTGATCATTTTTTTGTCAGTGAGCAAACGTACAAAATCAGCAGGGGATCAAATATTTTTTTCCCTCACTGTAGCACTGTTTTTTAGTCATTCATAACCAAGTTTTGGCCGAGCTTTTGATCAATTTGGCCAGGTTTCTTTTGAGTAAGTCCAAAATGAGCAACGCACCTCTCTATAATAAAAAAAATAATTTGGATTGCCCTTGCGAGAGTTATCGTGAACCCACGTCATAGACAGACATAGCTAATGCATTTACGCTTTCAACCTCAGCAGTGAGCGATAAAAATGGCATTAAAACTAAGATATTTTATTTCGCTGGTCAAGCCCACTGATCTATTCCGTCTTTTTCAGAGGTGACCTGGTCACACATGATAGCTAATCAAAGTGGCTGATATCATCATACGTGGGAATTTATAGTCACAGCCAAACAATCTAAACGCTTGTTTCTAAATGCGGAGGGGAAAATCCGGCGGATCTGGATAAAAAAACACGTGATTACCATGGGGAGATAACATGAACTCCGAATATACAGGCATCGTCAGGTTCGGAATCGAACCCACGACCTCCTGGCATACTGGGCGAGGGAGATAACATCTTCCCACCACTGCGGTGCTCTCACTGCACCTTAATACTACATTTCAAAGCGCCGATTGTGATGGAAATGAGCACCATTTTATTATATGTTTTGCAACTAATTATATGCATATTTCAGGGGCAGCGTACAACAGCTGGCACATATAGCTGTGTGCTTTATTGCTATTTGATTCACCGCAGTAAGAGCACGTGTGCTCGAGCCAACTGCTTATTCCACCTAAAGTGAATACCTTCAGCCGGGTCCCACAGCCAGCCAGAAAAAAACAATTGTTCATAACAATAGAGTGGCTTTGATTAATGTAATACAATATATTTAATTGATTGATTGAGTGTTGTTGTGTTTTTATGTTGAGTGGGTGGAGCATTCAATATTTAGGGAGGCAAGAGAATGGTTTAAATTGATGTTAACGGCGCTGAAATTACAGTGTAGTTAAGGTTTCGTGACAGCGCTGTTTGAAATGATTGGCTCCGATTCCTTGGAATGGATACAGCTTAGTGTCACCATTCAGGAAAATACTCTTTTTGGGAATTCGCAAGTCGATGGTGCCACATTAAAGGACGTTCCAAGGTTACGTTTTATTTTGTCAGCTGAGCCCACGTTGCATTTTGTACACGGTCTAAAACTATACATATATATATAGCCCATTATACAAAATTGTACATTCAAAGATTTTGTAAATGTGGATATGTACGAGAGAGGACGCCGATGCAAGCAAAGACCATGGGATATCTTTTTCTAAGGTGACCTTGTGAGGGGGAAAAAATGTTTGATTCAGAATTAGCAGCGGCAAACATTCACCCACTCAAGGTGCTTGCTGCCTTCAATTGGCCTAAGGTCTAACAAGGCAGTGGCGCGTGACATTTCAGGTCGGTTTCCCCGGCCGTCGCGATCACTCACGGTTACCTTATTCACCACCTGCGCCACGTTTGAGTCGAAGCTCGCTTTAAGTACCTTTCAACGAAATGTAGACGTGCAGGAAGAACTGCTGAACATGTGTTTTGCGCCCAAGTTTTTTTCATGCTGACGCGACACCGCCTCTTGAAAAACGTCGTCTTCGCTGCTGACTGTGTGATCGTTTAAGAAGGAGTGTTTTAGGTGGAATGTCGTATTATCTCGCGCTTGTTTTACTTTCTAACCCGTTGCGATCGACTCGCTTCGCGTTAGTGAGATTGTCGCTCGCTCCGAATCCGGTAGTGGCATGTCAAGTTCAAATCCCAGCTGCGGCGAACATCAGTGATGAGCGGTATTTGAACCGGTACCCAGGCACATGCTTCTTCATCAACTAAAGCATAGTGTGCTCAGTATGGAGACCAAAGACAAAGATCCCCCGTCTGGCCTTTAATAGACTGTTGCGGCAAGTGCAGTTAGCGAACATTCAGGCCGGTCCAGCAAACGAGGGGGTGAGTGGCCAACACCATGCCTGGCATTCTTCTTCTCCCCAGGGAAAATATTTACACTTCGCACCAAGTACTCATTTAAGGTCGATCTAGGGGAGGCCTAGAACCAGTTTTGATGATCGTCACTGATGTTGGCCGTGAGCGGGGAATCGCACTCAGGTCGCTAGAATCTTAGCACAGTGTGCCAACCACTGCGCCACTACTCTCCACACTGTGAATACCACTCTCACACTCACAGGCACTACTTAAGGGGGCATTGTAATTTTAAAACGATAATAAAAATGTAGCCAGCTTGTTGTGGAAAGCCCTTCTTTTCAAAGATGAATCAGTCTTTAATCGAGCGGTGGTCACAATTGTACTGGATGAATTAAAAAAACACAGATCGGTCACCTGGGATCACAACGGGTTGCCAAAGGGGCAAGAAGCCAGCTCATTGAGACAATACCTGGGAAATCACGAAGGCAGATGGTCAATTTCACTTGTGATTCTTTGCCACTCATTTGTAAGTATAATCCATTTTACTCATGCTTCTGATATTAACGACATAAAATAACACTTTTTTTCTTCCATGCGAAAATAAAACTTCGCTAATTGCCATTTGAATGTTTGAAATCAAATGTTGTCCAAAATCCTTTCGGAAAATACGTGAAGGGTCCGTGCGCACAAACTTCCATTGGATGTTGCCCATGCCCGTTAAATGCCCTGAGCTGAGAGTACAATTTCCACATCGGATTTGGGTGCAATTTTTTAGTTTGTTGTCCTTCCTCTGCACCTCCGATTAACACGGTTGGCCACATATGTTGAGAAGGAAGTTCAACATACAGTACATTCATTTTGTCCACCACCACCAACAAAGTGGTATCTGTTTTATCTACCGAATAAGCATAATGGGCTGAGTCCACTTCAACGTGGGGTATCCTTCTGTTTGCGAGTCAAAAGACTACCATGTTTAAGAATACAAGCATTCTGTGATGATTATAATTTACAAAAATATTGTACGGTAATTGTTGTTTCAGACTATTGCTTGTATTTAGTTTGAGCTTCAGAGGGGATAAATGAAAGCGTCATGTGTGATCTTGAGTGTTGAGTCTTTGGGGGCTAATGGCAAAGTTATTCTTCACAGGTGGCTAAACCAAGCATATTTTTAATTAAGCTTCTGTACACACGTTGCGCGTGTGTCTGCGTGCTTTTAATTGTCTTTCGTGATAGTGTAAATCGTGCAACATCTGTCTCGTTTTTTTCACCCGGTGTTACGTTGTCCCAGTTGGAGCAGTTCTCGTAAATATTGTTCGCTTGAGAAAAATGCCGACAACCTAACGTGAAACATGCTCATATTTTGTGTAATTAGTCTTTGTGCAATAATGAATGACAAAAAACACATCATATTTTTTTCCAATAGATTTATTCACTGACTGATGATGAATTGCTGCTATAATGTCGTCTTTGTGCACGCGTGTGTACAGCCTCACTGGTGCAGACGTGCCTGACTTGATTGTGAGCATCAGCAATCAGATGTGGATTTACCTTCAGACAGACGAGACGGTTGGTTCGCTGGGCTTCAAGGTCATCTATGAAGGTAACAGGCCCACAGTTGTGACACGCGGTGCCGGCACGCATTACCAACACACGGTGCCAACACACGGCACTTTAAAGTTACGAGCAAAGACGTGCGGCCCTGCAGTTCCTAAAAACGTAACAATTCTTTTTTACTTTACCAGACAAGGCCCACTGTGCTATGTAGCTCTTTTTCAGAAGTGACCTGGCCACAAATGATAGCTCAACGAAGTGGCTTGTCACGTGGAAATATATAGCAGCCAGATAACTCTAAACGCGCGTTTGATTCTAAATGTGGAGGGAAAAACCGGAGGACCCGGAGAAAAGTCCACGCCACCACAGGGAGAACACGCAAACTTAAAATATACAGGCATCAGGGTCGGGATTGAACCCACGGCCTTCTGTGTACTAGGCGAGGTAGTTAACATCTCGCCACCGTGTATTGTAAACATTGCTGTTGGTGGAAGGGCATTCACTCGGGGGAGCTGCTAGACTACGGGCTTTTGGCCTACTCTTCCACGTGGGACCAGACGTGTTGTGGGAAGAGGTGAGAGTACCCACACGTTACCCCACCGCATGTGACCACCTGCCGATCAACTAACTGCGGTGCATACCATTGATACTGCTTGGTAGACAGAGGAGAGGGGGGTTTAAGAAAAATTGCACTGCTGTTTGCTGATTGAATCGGCGACTTCGGAATTGCAAGTCCAGTGTGCCAATCCTCACTCCTAAAGCCACTGCCCAGTATATATTGCCTTGTCTGCAATGCTGTGCTGCAGACGGCAATGTAAAACTCCATCCTCCAACAGATGTAGACGTCCATTGTCAGCCTAACACGCAGGCTTCATTGTGTGGATCGAATCGTCGCATTCTGCTCGTAAGTTGCTTTGTTTAAATCACTTACAGGCCACATTTTACAAAGCAGGTACTGTGTCAGAAAATAATCGTGATCAGCGGCAACGTGGAGTGATTGTAGTCATGAAAGAAAAAGAAAAATCTCTTGCAATCATTGAAAATATGTAGGACTGTCATTTTTCTTAGGTTTTTTCGGTAAAGTCACGTAGGTAAAACATCAAAATTAATAAAAAATAAAATAAAGATCACGACGTTTCGGAGGCAACACAAGTCTCCGTCATCAGGTGGGACCGTCACAGCCAGATTAGACGGTCCCACTTGATGACGGAGACTTGTGTTGCCTCCGAAACGTCGTGATCTTTATTTTATTTTATTTTTTATTAATTTTGATGTTTTACCTACGTGACTTTACCGAAAAAACCTAAGAATATGAATCCTTGCAGTCACGAAAGCTTCAAATCTAGAAGCACTGTCATTGTAGACGTATTCACGTATTACAGTACTCACCAGTAGCAATCTGGTTTCGCTTACGAGACCAATAACATTTAGAGTGATTTGATGGTAGACAATACGAATGTTAACACACACGACATGTATTTTAAAGCATCCTGCCACACTCTTCCACGTACTGTAAGCATACAACATATACATAGACAAAGATGCCCCGGTATAACCTTAACAAAGACTGTTGGGGCAAGTGCTTTCGGCAAGCACCTATGAAGGCAGGCACAAAACATGAGGGGGTGGGTGGCCAGCAGCACGCCCGGCCGCCTTTGTCTCCCTGGTGCTGATGTTTACACACTGCACCATTTAAGGCTGAGCGGAAATCAAACTTGGGTGACTGGGTTCGTAGCGCAGTGCGCTAACCACTCCGCCACCGCTCCCCATATACACACCGATCCACCAAGACTCATGCGTGCACACACTCAGACTTTATTGAGGCCCAGTTGGGAAATATGTCGTGTGCATTAGCTTCTATTCCAGTTTAAATATAGATGCGTCTCTCACATACCTTTGCTGTGATAAACTAAATTCTAATGGGATGACCTTCCTGACCTCAAAATTCCCCCCTATATGCAATGCCACCTGAAGAACCCAACACAAAGTAATCATCTGTGGTGTTTGAGGCTGTCGGTCTTATATTGCAATCCTTACAACAGCTGCCAATTTTTAGAACATATTTGTTGCTTGAAATGTAACAGTTGCGCGTAGTTGAGCACACTGAATTAGGTTACCTTGGATGCCGTATTGCTGTACTCGTGTAGAATTCGAAATGCAAATTTAATAACAAAAAGTAATACTCGAAAAATGTGGCAGGTTTAGAAAGTTATTGAATAATATTGAAATTGAACGAAAGGCAGCTTATAGTAACTTTACGACATTGAAGACAAATTGTAATAGGAAAACGTGTGTGTGTGTTTATATATTGCTGCTTACTCACGATTGCTTAGCACAGCCCGCCAAATGAGGCCCAAACTGCCAAGCGGCCAACAACAAACGGCACTTTTATAGTTGTAATGCTGCAGATGAGAGTTAACACATTTCTTGAATCGGGGCAGGTTTTAAGAACTTTGGAAAAGAGGCAGTGGGATGGAGGGAATCGCCAAATGGCGTTGTGCGAATGATTAAGCAGACAGAACCGTTGTAACTTGCCTACAGCCTAGGGATTGAACGCAGTCGAGTTTGGTCATACACCGTACACACTGAACGTACTCTGAACGTTCAACGTCTCTTCAAAATTAAATGTGTATGAGGCAAGTTGCTCCTCTCCATTGGTGGTGCTGAGCCAGTGGTGTAAGTACCTGGTCGCGCACAGCACAAAGAGCATCCTGGCTGTGTCTCTCACGGGTCCACTCAGCCAAAAATGAGCACCCGGTAGCTTGTATCACCTCCATCGTTTGGAAGGAGAAGGATGCTCAGATTGTGCTACTGCACGTTCACAGTACCCAGTTGCTAGCCTTAATGCACGGTAGCTTACGACATGTTCATCATTCTTATATCGCTTGCCACCGATATTAGCCATGACTGGGATTGAACTCAGGTCGACAGATTCATCAAGAAGACCATTGCATCACCACTCCTAGTGCAGGCATATATATAGAAGAGCAAATGCACTCATAATACTTTTCAGTCCTTTGTCAATCCGCTGCTGGATAAAGTCCTCCCCGTGTGGTGTCAGTTGTGCAGGTTTTGTTTCACCATACTTCACCACTCTGGTCAGTGTGTGTGTTGACGACGATGGGGCGGAGGCAGGACTGGTTCAATATTTGGCATGGCCATAAATTCAACTTGGGTGGCTGGGTCTCCAGTGCATTGCTCGAACCACTGTCCCACCAATCCCTGCTTTGTTGTGGTGAAAACGTTCCACCTTCTTGGGGCTAAAAGGGGGGTCACTCCAGACAATCGATTTACACATGGTAGCATTGACTCCGGAGGGGCTGAGTCTAGCCTTGAACCGGGTTGTGAACTCGCAACTTTCAAATTGTGAGTCAGATAATCTGACCACAACCAGATATATATATGAAGCTTTCGTGACTGCAGGAATTGCTCTTTGGTTCTTTCGGTAAATTCATGTAGAAAGAGAAAATCAAATAATAATAGAATACGATGTTTCGATTGCAACACAAGCAACCATCATCAGGTAAGAATGAATGGAAAAAACCATAGTAAACTTAGAAATATAATGTAATACGACACAGAGAGTCGGATAAAACAACAGTCAACACCCTACCTGGTTGATTACGTTCTTCCAAAGATTGCTAAATTTGAGAGAGAGACAAAACACAGACACGGAGACAATGTAGACAGACACACTTGCAGAGAGAGACACACAGAGCGAGACACACACCAAGACAAACAGTGTGTGTTTTTAGCAATCTTTGGAAGAACGTAATCAACCAGGTGAGGTGGTTACTGTTGTGTTGGCCGACTCTCTGTGTTGTATTGCGTTATATTTCTAAGTTTACTATGTTTTTTTTTTAAATTCATTCTTACCTGATGATGGTTGCTTGTGTTGTAATCGAAACATCGTATTCTATTATATTCGAATTTATTTTCTACGTGACTTTACCGAAAGAACCAAACGAGCGGCTATATATGTATATATTGGTTTTCACCTATGAGTGTCTCATTGAGAAAATACAGATTGACATTTCTAAACAAATAGCAGAGCGTGCTCTTGGAGTGGATAGTAATTTCAGGGACAAAGGCAGCTGGTGCAGCTGGCAGGTTTTGTGAGTCTCTCGTGGATGACGACCTCGCCATTTTGCCGTCAGTTTGTTAGATTTTTTTTATTTCACAACATTACACGAACAGCAGAGGTCAAGTCAGAGGGGTCGAAACTGTTCCACGACACATTGCGAATGCCTGGAAGGTATTCTTTGAGTTGGAATGACATGTGAGCCGTGGAAAATGGTTCTCAAAAAACAGGTATTGGGGTGGCCGCTCATCTGCGTCAGTGGCTCCGAGCCAATGGCAGGAAAACAGTTCACGTTCTCGTCCTGGAAATATTGTATCTGCCGTAGTGAAATGATACACTGCGGCTAACCTCCCCAAATTTTTCATTTGAAATCACAATTATGAATCGTGCACTCTAACGACAGGCATCCCTTAAATACATAATTCTAAAGTTTTAATCATGCAGAATCCATTCTCAATAGTTCATGAATAAGTTATTCCCTCATTCACATTGCATGATTCTCGCGGTTGGAGCGCTCCAAGTCACGCGAAGAAAGTCCATAATAAAGGTTTGTGGGTTAGATCGCGTAAGTAATAATGTGTCATAACCCTCCACCTCCCGACACAGCCAGTAAGGTTTATCACAGTAAACAACGCGCCAATTAGTTACTACTTCAGCCCACCGGTGCGTTGGAGAGTAAATCCACAACGTTTACAATTTGAGTAGTGCGACGTTTCGCTGGTAATTACATCCAGCATCATCGGGCGATTTGCCAGAAAAATGAAGCAATCCACGTGCTTCCGGTCCTAAATAGAGCAGGACGACGTCATCACTGAACCCATCAGGTGCAGAGATCAGAGGCGAAGCCCACGTTGTTAAACTAATAAAGTCACCGGTTAAAAATCCTGGCGAGGTGGGGTGGGGGTCAAGGAGCCAGAGCCCGGACTTTTACTGAGACGGGTAAGAAGAGGCCCATTGAGTTACAAAAATCTCTCCTGGAAGACGGGCGACCTGGCCATAGAGGAGGCAATGTTGGCACGTTACGTGAAATATTGAGAAATAAAATAAAGCTGGCAAAACGCATTTAATTATAAAACTATATTGGCAAAGTCCGGGCGGGGAGGGCTGCAAAACGCAGCACTTAACTGACGTGAGCTCACCATTCTTCAATAAGCTGAATAAAGTACCTCCATTGGATATAACCATCAACCATCGCATGTATCGGATTGAGTTGTGTCGGGCAATATAAATGTGTACTCTTTGGTTCTTTCGGTAAAGTCACGTAGGTAAAAAATAAAAATAGAAAAAAGAATAATAATAATAATAATAAAATAAATTTACTTGCATAAAAAAATGTGATAAAAAAAAGTATATTTGTTTTTTTTTACCTACGTGACTTTACCGAAAGAACCAAAGAGTATGGATCCTTGCAGTCACGAAAACTTCAAATCTAGTATAAATGTGGGAATTTCACGACTGGCCGAATCGCGGTGAGCAGCACCTCGCCGTGTACGGGAGCACACAATGCCGCATCACTCGCCTCTGACAGCCGATGGGCCCGTGAGTTTGTTAACCTCATATCGTACTGAATCACCAGAATGTACATTGCCCGAAACCAGTTACACTTCAGTGTTAATTCAAACATTAGCTCTTAGATTTTTTTTTTTTTGGGGGGGGGGACTTAAGCAGACATTGAGCAAACCACTAATATACAAGACAATAAATGCAACACATCTTAGAGCCGTGTGTTAATTTACGCACCAATTCTCTCATGAATCATTAGTCAGAGCGCGTGTTGTATCTTTTTGTCTCCTCTTTAATTGCTATGCCTGTGTTTTGTTCGTCGTTTCTCCGCACTGGATGACATTCTTTCGCACCTCACACCCCGAGTGGCGCAGCTACCGTAAAACATCTGCTTTGAACATTCCCCACGATCAGGGGTTCGGCAACCTGGCGCTCCGGTGCCGCGTGCGGCAGGCTTTTTAAGGACAGCTGCTTCGTGACGTTATTTATGAAGGACCACCATCTCATATTCTCACATGCATGCATGAATGTGTGTACGCTGAGCTTATTTCGCACCGTACGTAGCCAACCGCGCTAATTGGAGGTGTGGGGGATACACAACAAGCAGCTCTTGAAATATAGATTTTTTTTTCATACCAAGTTCTAAAAAAATTGGCTCTCCCTGTTTTGAAAGCCGACCCTGAAGGGTTTCCCTTCAAGTGCTTAGTGGAACCTTAAAACGAGACCTTTGCCTTCATGGGCTGGCACTCCTGGTTGTGACGTTCATGATGACGACAATGAAAAGGTAAAAGCGCGGCCCTACAATTACTCTCTCACGCCACTCTTGGCAGGAGGACGTCCACGAGAGCGAGCTCTAGAGAGGCCCTCTAGATGGTACCTAGCTTACTCTCCCATGCCAGCCTGTCTATATTGAAAGAGGTGGAATTAGCCACACTTCACCGCACCACTCGTGAATTCTCAGTCTATCTGTGGTGAACTCATTTATGCCGCTGGGTGGACAGAGGCAGGGGAAATTTAAGAAAATTGACCCGTTGTCTTGACTGCCATGCCGGGAGATCGAACCAGTGACCTTTGGATTGTACATTCAGTGTCCTGACCTTCACACCACAGCGGCACCCCTGACGATGGGTGAGTTGTCACTCTGGAGACCGAGAGATCGTTGATCGATGTTCGGCCACCGGGTTAACGATGAAATTCGTGATTTTTCACTAGACAGAGTGGGGCGCGTGAAGGCTGGCATCTTCCCCTCCCCCCCCCCCCCCCATGATGATGATAAGACAGACAGACGTATTATAGATGGGACAGCCGAAGTAGAAGCCGTGCTGTCATCCCCTTGGGCATCACCGCTTGACTTTTATCCCGTCGCCCAATTGCATTTGTTTCACCCCCTCCCCCTCGTCAGAGATTGAAGCCGGGACGTGCGGAGACCCAGGTGTGCCTCCTTACGGCAGGAGGGACGCCGGCGGATTTGCCCACGGCGACCGGCTGACATTTGAGTGCCAGTCGGCCTTCGAGCTAATTGGCGAGAAGGCCATCACCTGCCAGAGCAACAACCAGTGGACAGCCAGCATTCCCAGATGCATATGTGAGTGCTGCCACCTCGACAGCATGCCCAAGAAACGTGCGTGGTTGGGGTTGGGCCGGGGGTCACATCCGTGGCTTTGTTTTTCTTTGTTGGAGGCAGACTGTGCCGGCATTTGTCTGCACGCCACCGTATCGTACTTCCAACAAGTGTATGGCAGTGATCTGAATAGGATTGAAAACATAACAGGACGGTGGGTGGCTTGGAAAGCCGAAAATAATCTTGGCAAAGTAATGAAGCCGATTCTTCTGAGATTCAGTCACCTATGGTTAAAACTACTAAATTTAGTTTTTATTTTTACCAGGTAAAACCTGCTGAGCTATAGTGCTCTTTTTCAGAAGTGCCCTGGCTATAAATGATAGCTCAACAAAGTGGCTTGCCATCATGTGGAAGTTTATAGCAGCCAAATACTCTAAACGCTTGTTGATTTCAAATGTGGGGGGAAAAACTGGAGGACCCGGATAAAAATCCATGCGACCACGGGGAGAGAGATATACAACCTCCAAATATACAGGCATTGTCAGGGTTGGGATCGAAGCCACGACCTCCTGAAAACAGATGAGGGAGTTAACATCTCGCCGGCTGTCGTGTGTGGGGAGTTGACGGTCACTGCCTGGATAATAATATTTGCAACAAAAAAAACAATCACGTGAAATATGTAAAACAAAAATGCTCACATTGGTTATGTCTAAACCCGACGATTTCAATATGTCACTATAATACAAAAACGACTAATCAGAAATTACTTCAGAATTAATTCTGTATCATCATCTTGAGTCAGTTACTGACATAATGTGAAGCGCTGACCATTGTGTGAAGCCCGGATGTAAATTCTTATATTTTTCATTAATTCGTGGAAAAATGTGTGTTTACCCATAACAAACTAACAAAAATAGACTTCCATATGTATGCGTTATTGGCTAAGTATCCATTTATAAATATGTTTAGGTGTTCACGTATATATAATTGTGTCCCATTTGTGCAGTCTATTGGCAACACAAGTTATCAGACTTGCTGCACTTCAGCATGGCTTGGGAATTGGGATTTAATCCCATAATGGGATTGTGGGATTGAAACCCAGGACTTCAACGGCTTAGATCAGTTCTGTGATATCGGCGCAGCATTAACCTTTTTAGGCACCCATCCAACTCCCTGAAATAAGCTTTTTATATACGCACACACGCACGTTCCTGTCTTTTTAATCTATGGAAAGCAGTAGTTAGCGAACTGCGCTATGAACCCAGCAACTCAAGTTCAATTCCCGCTCACGAGCAATAAATAGGTCGACTCAGCCATATATTAGTACTTGGGATGCTGTGTTAAACATGGGGAGATAAAGGCGTCCAGGCATAGTGCTGCCTACACCACTCCCTTGTGTGCCGTGTCGGCCTTAATAGATGCTCGCTAACAGCATTTGCCCCAACAGTCTGTTAAAGGCTATATGGGGGATCTTTGTTTTTGTTTCCATGTATGCTTGTGTGTGTGTGTATGTGCGCTTGTTGGAGTCTCTGTATGTCTCGATGCAGCAATCATGAGCACATCGCTCCGTTACGTCAGTGACATTGGGTTCCATTTCTGACCATGCACATCTGTCAAAAGTAGTGATCTCAACTTGGCATTTGGTCTCTGCTAGATCCATTTAGCCTTAAACGAGAACATCGATAAACAAAGGTGACTCAGAACAGGGCTGCCCTCACCACCCCTCGTGGGCCATGCTGATATTAGTCGTCGCTTTCTAACAGCGTTTGGCCGTACAGAATTTCAGCCACCACAGAGCATCCTTTTGCACATGACGATGATGATGTGTCAAGGGATGCACATACCCCATCTCCCAAGTGCTGGATTACAGCGAAGAACTCTGGCAAAGAACGGGTTAATAGTGGTAGGCGTGAATTAGATGCACTGGCAAAAACTCGGATTGCCTGCAGAATTCTTTCAAGTCTCTTGAGAAGAGCTTAAATCATTGCTCGTACGTGGTGCGTATAAGCACACCCAGGTCCTTTGATAGGTGAAAATGGAATTCCTGCTGTGCTCATGTGAGTAGCCTTAACAAGCCTTCATCAATTCCCTTTGCCTAAAACGTATTCCATTGAAGTTTTATATTCATTGCATGAGAGCACCTATGATTGACACGGTTGGCTATGTGCAGTGCGAAAGAGGTTCAAAAACAACAATGTACATAGAGCCATCTTAAAAAAAAATGTAGGCAAATGTTCCAAAATTTAATTTTGGGTAAATATGCTTGGCAATGTTGAACTGTGTCCTAAGCATTCGCAGTTGTTAATGCATGCAAATGTTGTGGGTTAACTCTCCAACACACCGGTGTGCTGAACTATTAACGAATAGGCATGTTCTGTTTCCGTGACAACCTTACTAATTGGCTGTCGGATGGTGGCGGGTTTAATGATATATTTATATTCACGCGATCTAACCAAAACACCTCGATTATGGATTGTATTGGTCGTGAAAGCTTACGTCTTAAAATGTTACTGAGTTTGTAATGTATAATTTATGGCAGCCATCCTCCTGTGGATGGCTCTGCAGTTATAAGACACAAACGTAGGATTGAAAGGTTTGTGATTTCAAATCCAAGCCCATCATCTTTATTACTTTGATAAAATCAACGCCGGTTTGTTGAAATGTGGTAGTCGTCATCTTATGCAGAGGCTGGCCATGGCCATGACAGTGTGGAATGTTTTCACTTGCTCGCTTGGGGTCGCCAGTCTAGGGATGAGTGTGACCTCATTGCTTGTTTGATCGGACACGCCTTGACTGTCAGTCACTTCATAGAATAACCACGGCAGTGCAAAGCGTAATATGATAATGATGATAATATTGCCGGCCAGGTATGATGCACTGATCAGCAACCTCAGCAGAAGAGTGATCGGCTCGCAATCAGAAGGTTGCGTGTTAAAACCGTGGCTGGGTGTTGACTCAGGCCATCATCCCTCTTGGGATCAAAAACATTTGTACCATTTGGTTGAGAAGTCACCAGTCCTCGTCCTATGGATAGACTCACCCCCAGCCATAGGAATGTGGAATTCCCCTCCTGGCGAAGGGCTATAAATGGGATATGAGCAACACCTGAAGGCTGATTTGAGCAGGAAATAACTTTTTGACTTTTCACTTTATAATTTAGTGCCATATTTATTACCATATAGCAACTGTTTATTGTGACTGTAGTAAAGTTTATTCTCGATATTATGCATTTATGTTTTGAAGCATAAATGTGGGCAAGAATTGGATATGCAGCAGTTATCGCAATGTACTACAATACTGGAAGACTGGATTTGATTAATTGTCATGCTGCCCACGGCGGTCTATGAAGCTAGATGACATATAAGCTGCATGGTGATGGCCATGCATGCCTGTAATCCAGCACTGTGGAAGCAAGGGTTTGTGGATCACACAAATGTTGCTAAACTCTCCCTTCCCACGTGCATTGAGCTGCCATGCTCTGGCTTGGCAGGAGAAGGCAGTACAGTTACGGGGGACTCCACCTGTTCCATCTCTATGGGATGGAGTTGCCCCCTCACCCGCGTGGGTTTTCTCCGGGTGCTTTAGTTGTCCCCCGCATGTAATAACACTCATTAACCCTTTCCCATTCCGATGACGTACGTGTACGTACGTGTACGTGATTGTAACGGAACCGGAAGAAAAACTAAAATTAAAATAACTTCGTCGGCACTGAGGCTTCCACAAGGCCATGCGGGAGGGCGTGTGGCACAGTTTGGCGCCAGCTATCGTAGATTACAGCGATCGTGTCGCTACAGTTCTCTGCGGTGAGCGACTTTAAAAACAACGGCGCTATGCCTCTCTAAATAGAATTGACGCTAACCGCTTGCACGTTCCGAGATTCAGAGGTGAATGAGACAACCGCTCTGCAACGTGGAGATGTCAAAGAACGGGAAAGGGTTAATTGTCCAATAACACCTTAACATAGAGGAATGCAGAGCTTGGGGTGTAATTTGATGCCGATTCCCTGCGTGGCTTCCATTGCAGCCTGTCTGTTCTTTCTCGCTCCTCTGAGTCGTTCTATCTCTTAGAGAATCTGCGCATACTGGGCGGTGCATCACAAGTTTGAATAATTTTACTACGACTGTCCTTTTATAGTTAATGCATGTGCTTACTAAGTGTTGTAAGCTTGTGTATCTGCATGTGATATTCAGTACGTGTGTAGTGTGCTTCAAATTAGGTGTGTATGTATGTTGTATGTATGTTATTCAAATGATTTGACCGTACAATATAACTGTAGAAAGGGTTTTTGGTTTGTATGGACCTTTTCGTTTGATCTTTAAGTGACATTTACGATAAGAAGGTTGAAGTGGAATAATGAATTTGCCATTGGGGAAAAAAAGGAAGGCTTGCCAAGGTAACAATAGTGAAACTTGACACATTTATTGGATTCAACTCCTTGCCATCTGTGACGAGCGCTCGAGACAATGTGTGTCAAAACATTAATTTCTAACCGCATGTCATCACATGCATTACTTATTGCCGATGTGCCTCAGTTGAAATGTAGGGATACGGCGGGTCTGAAGTTCGCTCGTGCATAAATCTGCCCTTGTAAATGCGTGTGTTTCTGGACGTAAAATTCTCGTGAAATTGCTCCTGGCCTTGCAAATAACGCAATCGGCTTGTAAAGTCACCTGTTAAAAAATTCAAAGTCAGAGGTGGATTCCGGCCATTGTCATTCCGGTTGGAGTTGGTATAAAATAAAATAAATCACGACGTTTTTAAACAGTCTGCCTCAGCAGCAGACCATGCTTTCCCACCTGATGATGGACGCTTGTGTTGCGCCCGAAACGTCGTGATTTATTTTATTTTATACCTACGTGACTTTACTGAAAGAACCAAAGACGGTCCAATTGATACAGAAGCCCACTCCATTGGAATGTGAAATTGTGTTTACTGGGGAGAAGAGTACCATCCTATGCAAACTTGGTTTTAAGCTCCCTGCCTAAATAAAGTAATGTATGTATCTAATTTGTGAGAAGAGTCTAATGATATTTACTGAGACGCATCCTCCTTTATAAAGGACTCAGAAAATTAACTTCTGTAGCAAAAAAGTATTATTTTGCTTTTCTTATCTCTGAGCCATGGTGATTTATATGAAAGGTGCCAATGATTGTTGATGCTGCTGATTTATGATTAGTGATGTTAGCAAGATGAAATAGTCTGGCCCTGAGCCAGAGATGGAATTCCACATTTTCAGTGCGGGGGCCCAGTTCCTACAAGTGGAACAGCTACTGTTGACCTCCCAATAAGTGGTACAAATTTTATATGCAGCCAGACAGTCACTCACATTGATCCCTGACTGGGATTTAACCTCGCCGGGCTTCCCATTGTGAATCAGAATCAGTGTTTATTCATGCTGGAGGAATCCGACGAGCTTTCAAGCTCTTTTTTTAAGACGTCCAGTAGGGGCGGGTCAGAAAGTCACAGTTCAACAAAAAATACAAAAAACTAAATACGAGTACAAAGTGTAGGAAAGGTAAACAAATCACTCACAAAATAAAAATAATCTTTTGTTATTTTACCAGGTCAAGCTCACTTAGCTATTTATGATTTTTCAAAAGCTACCTAGCCACAAATGATAGCTCAAGAAAGTGGCATATCACAACAGCCAAATTATTTTAATAATTGTGCCACCTGGCGAGCTAATGTTCACAGCAATGGCGATGATAACTTATCGCTCTGCTGCCATTGCCAACGCAACTCCGTGCCGTCACAGTCTCTTGCTTCTTCAACTACACGGCCGCGGCGAGCGTGGTGCTGTCGCCAAACTACCCCGAGGGCTACGGCGGGAACCTCAACTGCGTGTGGCTCATCATCACTGCGGCCGGCAGCCGCATCCACGTCATCTTCAACGACTTCGACGTTGAGACGCAGTTCGACTTCCTGACGGTGCGCGACGGCGAGGACTCGGAATCGGCGATCCTGGGCACCTTCACGGGCGGCGCCGTGCCCACGCAGCTGTCGAGCAGCAGCCACGTCGTGCGCCTCGAGTTCCAGAGCGACCACTCCATGTCGGGACGGGGGTTCAACATCTCCTACACCAGTAGGTGTCTCACCGGTGTACACGTTAGGCACGGTGGTCGCGGTGGCGAGACGTTAACTCGCCCACCTGGTGTCCAGGAGGTCGTGGGTTCAATCCCTGACCCCGACACCTGCTGTACATTTTGAGTTTGCGTGTTCTTTCTCTCCCCGTGGTAGCATGGATTTTTCTCCAGGTCTTCCGGTTGTTCCCTCCACATTTAGAAATATGCATTTAGAGCATTTGGCTGCTACTATAAATTTCCACGTAATAAGCCACTTTATTGTGCTATCATTTGTGGCCAAGTCGCTTCTGAAAAATAACTATTTGTCTCGGTGGGCCTTACCTGATAAAATAAACAACATTTTCATTTTAGTTTAGTTTATACACCAGATAAACGAGTGTATGTGGTGCATCAGATACAGCAGATACACTCACACGCTCACATGCCAGTGGGTGTACCAGTGAGGAAGATACCACGTGTCACACTAATACACCACATACACTCTGGTCACACTGATATGCCAAGTGTGCCCATGAAGCAGATACCACATGTCACACTGATATACCAGTCGGTGTCCTGTTGTTAAACCAGTGTCATGGTGATAGACCAGGAGATGATCTGCTTATTGCGGAGAAGGTATGCCATTAATAGAGCTATACTGTTACAGATACCCTGCTGCATCCAATACACCACTGTCATGGCGGTATATTATGAATGAATAAAATATCTAAAAAATGATCACTATTATTGACCGTTAAATATTCCGCTATCATCAAAGTAGCTATCCTGCGAATGCAAGCACCACTGTGCTTCTGGTCGACAACGAGAGTTGGTCCGGCACTTGGCCCAACTTAAATCAATTTGGAGGATTAAAGTGCACAACCAAAGTAATAAATGACAAAAACACAACCGCCACATTCAGCTAAGTGTCTTTTCGATGAAGGAGTAGGGATCCCAGCAATATGTATCATGATGATATTGTTGTGTGGTGTTTTCCACTGATGTAGCAGCAGCTGCTGTTCTTCTGAGGTATAGAGCAGTGTCTGGCCAGGCGGCTCAGTGGTATAGTGAGTGGCTCGCAATGGGCAGGTTTCAAGTTCAACTCCTTGTAGGAGGTTAACTAAGCCCATCATTCTTCTCGGGGTCGATAAAACGGTCTGTAACAAATGAGTACCACTTAATTGGAACGTTAACAGTGGTTGTCCAATGGATAGACCGACACCCCCCCCCCCCACCCTTAGAATGTGGAATTTCACGACTGACTCAGGTCTGTACTTTTTCAAGAAGCATGTGGGAATGTACAGCACCTGCAGTGTGGATAAGAGGTCATTAAATGCGACCACAGTTGTAGTTCTGTGATATCAGCTTCAATGGACTGGTCTCGATCATAGGGTGTTGCGCAACTCTGAGTGATTTCTGGACTGACATTCCATCGCTAGATGTGATGCCAAGAGGATACTTGGAATACATTGGTAAAACAAAGGGCAAGAACACGCTTGTAAAAAGTTAGTTTTCATCCACACGCAATGCCTTATGGGACGTTGATAAAATTGCCTCCCGATCCCATGGCCTTTAAGTGCGTGCATTGGTGCCAGAGCTAATATTTGAGCCCGGCTACAAGACCACTTTAATTTATAGAGGCAGATCTGTGCACCACATAACACACAAAACCCAGCCCCCTGTAACGTTTCCACTGAAATGTCCTCAGTACTAAGTAAATCTTTACACAGGTATTTGCTTCGTCAAGCATCCAACCTATAGCCTGCGGGTTACGTGTAGTCTGCAGTGCAACACCACCACCACCACCACCAGCCCTGTCCAATGCCTCAGGCGACTGCTACATGACCTCTTCCCAATGTATCTCATTAATTTCTATGCCGCTGGATATTAGGTACAATGTCGCACATCCGACCCGCTGGGGACTGAGTTGTAAGCCGAGATTTGAAAAGTTGAATATTTGAACATAATTTGTTTTCATCTTTTTTTTGACATACATATTCAATGACAGTTGCACCACCGTGGACAAACAGGTTACTGGACGGGAAATATAGCGCACACTTCTCAAAACGTGAGAGATGCTCCCTCGTGCTTGAGAAGTGAGTGATTGTACGCGAGATTAGGAATGCGTACCCACGCGCGAAATGGTCGAGGTTGTGAACATCTCGAGTAAATGGCAGTTGCACCTTGCACAATGGTCAGGGCAGATGCGTGACGGTCGGATGTGCGACATTTGCTTTTTGTGTTTAGTTTGTTGTCATTCCCCGCACCTCCAATTAGCACGGTCGGCTACGTACGGTGCAAAAGAAGTTCACCATACACACGTTGTGCTGTGTTGCGTTTAACATCGCATTGCCCCCAGCTCATGCCAATCATCAAAACAAAATTTACTATCTCGCGTGTCCGCAGCTTTTGGCTACAACGAATGCCACGACCCCGGCACACCAGTGAATGGCCGCCGCTTCGGAGAGGAGTTCCAGCTGGGGCGCTCGGTGTTCTTCGTGTGCGAGAACGGCTTCGTCCGCTCCCAGGGCACGGAGAGCGTCACGTGTGTGCGGCAGGGCGACATCATCAGGTGGAGCGCCCCGCTTCCGCGCTGCGAAGGTAACGCAAAGGCAAACCCCCTTGGCCGCTCACGTTTGGACATCTCTGGACGTCTGTTAAAAAATAAAACGCTTCATAGTTCATCGGATTCCTCCAGGAGGTTCTGATTCCATTCATGGCTGGAGCTGCTTCATGCGGACTGAATTGCCGTCTGCTTCACAGTGGACTTTTAAAGATCCCACGACGATATTAGAAAAAGAATAGGCCATGTGTGCCACCATCGCAGTCAACATTTTGGTAAATTATGGCAAATTAATTAATTGGGGAGAACATCGGCTCCCCTTCCCTACCAGCAAACGAATACCCAGTTGCAGACAAGGGTTGCATACATCTGTAAAGGAGAGCCGACACAAGGTTGCAGGGGTTCGTCTTTTATTCCTTTTCTCCCATCCACACCTGTATCCAGCCGTTCCAGCCAACAAACCCCTCTTCCCGCCCGTTCTCTCCCTTATATGTCCTCACCTGCTCCTCCCCCTTCTCCTGTCACCGTCCCACTCCCCATCCCATTGGTGCGAATCCTTCCCTTGACACCCCTACACATCTTTTGTCACATCGAGGCAACTGCCACTGGGGGTTTCCTTGGCTAGACTGCGGAAGGGCATTGTTGGAATGGTTGAGATGTGATTCGAAGCACTTTAAATTTCGGGGGCATTTTTAAGCGCCCCGTCGATGCGAATTCACGTGCTTTGAAATTCACTTGGTACTAGAACTAGTGGATACAAGAGTGTTTGAATGAGTAAACTAACTTGATGTTTCTGTTATCTCTGTTAGCGTGATTTCAGTGATATATATTATGAAAGCGGCATGACACTTGTTACTCCCGTGCAGCCGTAATTTGTCATATTTTTGCCGCTGGACGGCAGGTGTACCATGTGATCATGATGACAGTGCCCATGGACAACCTCAAATAAGAAGTGCAATTATTATTTTTCTTTTCCTTTTTCTCTCTTGATTTAAATGCAAGTGTAATTTATTGCGGAGTAAAGCTGCAATATGGTCACGACTACGTATATGAACCGTGCCAACATTTGCAGACAAATGGAATGGCGGCATTGAGCCAAAGATGTCTTGCCTTCGCGCTGGTTTCTGGCCAACAAGGAATCACAAGATACAATTATATTTTCTCTATGGTCTCCTATTTGTATTTTTGACACCCAACGTTCACGCGCCGTTGGCGATTATATATTTTTTGTGGATTATTGCTTTAATTCTTATCCCTGTTGAGCACTGATATTTGCTAAGTTCAGATCGTATACAATTCACAAGTAACATAGCAGTTGAAGCACCAGCTGGCTTGCCCACTTCTGTAGTTATCTGACATGTACGCTCACCTCCCGTTCACTAGAAATTCTGAGCACTACACAGTTGCCACCATATCTTTTCTTGACAATGTTCACTTGTCTGCGCCCTCCCTCGGAGGACAACAACACGAAACAAATCCCCTCGTTCTAATGTTTTCTTAGTAAGGGCACCGCCATCTTTGATTACACATACATATGTATGTTGAACTTCTTTGCACCGTCCGTAGCCAACCATCGGAGGTGCGGGGGGAAGACAACAGACGAAGCTTAAATTATGTTTCAATCGCAACGCAATTTTGTAAAAATTTCGGACATCGGTTACGTAATTATTATTATTAGCATTAGCATTCTCTTTACTCAAGCACCCTCAACCCTGTAGCCCAGACCTCACTTGCAAAGTCAACATTATTTTCAGTGGTTTCTTACACAGTTCTAAATGCATGCAATAGTTTAGTTATATAACGAATCTCTCGAAATTACTTTCCGTTTTTCACTTCCACAAGCTGAGTTAATTATAATCTCATAATCATAAATCAGTCACTGACATATAGATTCCATTAAAATGTCTAAAATAAAAAAACGTTGTACAACTATCCTCAACTCGCCTTTTGCCCGTCCAAGGACGGGTGTATTGCAGTAAATCTGAAACTTGCAAGCGAAAAGCAGACCGTGACGTGATATTCATTGCATCCATTCGTGTGCAGTTTGTAAGGGCGCAGTGACACAGACCTATTTCATTTAAAGGTTAGAATCCCTTGTTCATCATGACGTCCTTTTTACTTTGATGTCTCAACAGCGTTACGGAGATCGCGTGTCGTGAGGGTTCTGCCTTTGTAGTGAGGGTTATAAGTTGACGCCGAGGAGGGGGGAGGAGGCGCCTCGCCCCCCCCCCCATGTGGAGTGACGTCAGCCGCTAATTATTATGAATGGGGTGGGTGTGTCCATTTGGAGGACGCCACCTGTTAATGATTATTGGTGAGGGGGACTGGTCGACGTGGAGTAACGTCACGAGCGTTGCACAGACATTCTTGGCTCATTATAGTAGGTAATAATAATGGGGAGGGGGGGGGAGGTGTCCATTTGGAGGACGTCACCTGCTCATGAATATTAAAGAGGGGGGCTGGTCGATGTGGAGTGACGTCACGAGCGTTAAGGACCTCCTGGGTGATTATAGTAGATATATATGCACGAGCAATCCCATGTTTCTACGTGGTGCTTAGGTTACGTTACGGGCCATGCTGTTATGATGACGATGATGGGCTGAGTCAACCCTGGCATCGATGGTTCAACTGGTGACCTCTGAACACCCGATTGCAATAACCGCATTGCCCAATTTGGGTTAGACTCACTGCTTCGAAGATTATCACAAGTTGTATGAGAGGTGACGGATTCCCGGCATAGGAACGTGGAATTTCCACCACCAAAATAGAAGCCCCAATGGGAGGCGAGTACGACTGAATGCGTATTTAAGCATTGGGGCACCGTTTGGCTTTTCACTTGACCACTTTGTGCCACGCAACACTCAGGTATTAGTTGTAAGCACATCGAATGCAGTCTATGAGGCATCGTAAATGTTTACTTTTTAATAGAGTTCAAAATGCCCTGAGCGATTAATTAAATCAATTAATTATACAGAGTGTTTAATGCCTGTTCAAAACAATTACCTATTAATTTATACCATAACAGTTTCTACATTATGCATGTTTTTTACCAGTTTCTCCCTCTTTGAGTTGTTTTTTTTGTTTCTCGTCATAAAAAAAGAAAACTTGCGTAAAATAGAATTTTCACACGACAAAAGGAACGCGTTGTTTACCGATTTGTCGCACACTTTTTAGTTTTAGTTGTGTACGTTAATGCATTGCTCCCATCAGACCCCCAGATGTTCTGCGCAAAAGAGACAGACACCCTATCCCAGTGGGGCTTCACCTGTTTTCAATTCAGCTCTCCAACCGTCCATTATCAATGCTTAACGTAGAGTAGCATCCCATTGAATACAATAGCCGGGTGACGAATGCAATGCCTTCGCTGAACTGCCACGCTGCGCGCAGTGGAAGCTCAAAGGAATGTTTTTTTTCGCAGCAATTTATTTTCATTGGAAGTGAAGGGCTTCAGATGAAAGGCAATCGCCCACGACATTAGTTTACTTCACTTTCATGATTATTCTTTCGCACTAACTGGCAATAAGCGTTTGTCATACAATGCTGCGTACGGACACCGTGCACGGTGAATCCGAGAGGCAATTTCTGAGAGGCGTATTCCTACCATCGTTGGTTTATGAGGCACGGGCACGGAAAGGGTTTCTCGGGAGCATTTTGTCGATGCCAGCATTGTGTCGCAGAATTTAATCGCGTGACAATTTATAAACACGTCCTTTGTGCGTCACATAGTTCCAGCATGAAACCGAAATTTTGGATGTATAGCACAGCGACACCTTTTTTTTGCAGGCGACTCCATCTGAATGCGGAACGAATCGGGCGATGCTCCAGTGTCCCTGCTAATTAACAGCGATGAATGCACACTGTTAGATCTTTTGCAATGTTCTAAATTTACTTTAACTGCAAAGCAAACACAAGCACTAACTTCATTATAAACAATATACATACATGTATAGTATTCTTAACCACAAAGATGCGTGTTTACTCTGCAGGCAAAGCGTATTCACGTGAAATCTTAATTTTGGAGCTTTCGTGACTGCAGGAATTATTCTTTGGTTCTTTCGGTTAAGTCACGTCTAAAGACAAAATAATAAATTAAAATAATAGCATATTACGACGTTTCGATTGCAACACAAGCAATCATCATCAGGCATAAAAGAAATAGCAACAAAAATCTAACTAGAAAACTATAGACAGACATACAAGCAGACAGACATCACAAAGTCACACAGAGAGATGACACATATCGGCACAAATAGAGGGGTCGTTTCTGTGACGGTCCCTTAAATATAGAGAGAGGGGGGGCGGGGGCGGAGAGAGGGAGGGGGCAGAGAACGTTTTCACGTGCTCTGTATTTTTCAGCTCTGATTGTCGGTTCCCATGGACACGTATAGCCTCGTTTTGGCATACGATATTTTAAATGTTGAGTTGTGGAATGGTTGTCATCGACACGACACGTTCAGCATTTAATTAATAATCGGTGGCGAGATGTTAACTACTTCGCCTGGTATACAAGAGGTCTTCGGTTCAATCCCGACCCTGACACCTCCATATTTGGAGTTGGCTTGTTCTTTCCGTGGTCACGTGCATTTTTCTCTAGGTCATCTGGTTTTTCCCTACACATTTATAAACATGCATTTAGAGTTCAGCAGTTCCACTGCTGGATTATATTTTTTCCGCCTGAGGACGACCGCTTGTGTTGCAATCGAAACGTCGTTATTATTTTATTTTATACCTACGTGAATTGACCAAAAGAACCAAAAATATTAATTAATGCAGTCACGAAAGTTTTAAGTCAAAATTTACATAAATTCTATCAATGAAATATATATGTTAAATACGATTATCTCATGTTGGTTTTTTTTTACGTATTCTTTTGTATTGCAGGTCACTTTCGAGCTGAACTTGCCCTTGCAGTTTTGTTTCGGTGGCTTTTCTGGACTGAATTAATGCATTTCCTAGTGCCGGAACTGCAGGGCTCTCTCTACCTGAGGTTCAGACACCAAACAGTCTGCTTTTCTCGGCGCGCTCTCGCATAGAAACAAAGTGCTTTTGATTGGCTGACTGAATTGATGTGAATGCCTTGGCAGCCCCGTGCGGAAGTCACCTCACCGCTCAAACTGGGACCATATTCTCGCCTGGATGGCCGGGCCTCTACAAGGATTCTCTGAGCTGCGAGTGGATCATTGAAGCAAACGGTGGAAATTCAATCAAAGTCACGTTTGACAGGTAATTACGTGAGCACTCATTTCCTTTTGAGTGCTACTGTTATGGCTGTAAGATTTGCCTTGTCGTGTGTTCTCATATACGTTATAATGTACATTTTTTATTTGCATTGCCGGTAACAATGAAAAACCGTAAGAACAATTGATATATGGTTACCGGTTTGTGGAACATATAGAAAAGTCTGCTCACAAAACGTAACGTGTTTACCTTTTCAACTGATAAATTAAGGGAACCGTCACAGTGGTGCAATGCTCAGCACACTTGGACTTGCAATCCAGAGGTCGCCCGCTTCAATTCCCTCTCCCCTGGGTGGAAGTTGAAAGCATGGGGGTGAGTATCTTAAATCCCCCATGCTATCTCAGTCCACTGAGCAGTGTTAGCCGATCGGCAGGTCACGTGCGGTTGTATAGAGTGTGGGTCACTGCATCGCGCACTTTCAGATGCGCTTCTGCGGCCGTCTGGAACGTTCTCCCTTCCGATATTAGGAAGCCACTGGAGCTATACACTTTGAAATCGAGATTGAAATCTCATTTCTTTAGAGCTGCTTTTTGTGTTTAGTTTGTTGTCCTTCCCCCGCACCTCCGATTAGCACGATCGGCTTCGTATGGTGCGAAAGAAGTGCAATGTACATACATGCGTAAGCATTGCTCTTCCACGATTTCCGGTCAGGGGGGAAGAGTAAGCCAAATACCCACTATAGCTCCCAGTGGAAGCTCTTCCACCATCGGTGGCATGAGCAAGCAATCAATAGCAGGGCTGCACCTTCGACTTTTAACTGAGAAATTATGGCAGGTCTTCCACGTGGCGACTTAGGCCACCGTGCGGTTTGTATCTGTGCATTGGGCCAATCAGAGGAGTCGTTCCTAAACATTGCACTGGAAACGATGTTTCCGCTTCCCCAATTTCGACACCACCACTATAGTATTCTATTCTGAAAGCAGCTGCTGGTTTACCTGTTCACGTTTAACAAACCTTAAGTAACCTGCAGTACGTTACTGGATAAATAATGGAAATGTTTCCTCTATTTACCCAATAAAATCACACTGAGTCTCAAAATAATTTTTCACAAGCGTTTTGCTCGGTTCATGCTTTAATATTTGTGTATATTTAATGTATATGTGTATATTTAGCCTGTGAAATAAACGAGTGTCCAGAGAGAAAAAAAACAACATATATATGCACATGAGACGATAATGCAAACTTCCCACGTGATTTACTGTCACCTTTAAAAGCCACCGAAAATTAGCCTTGCGGGTTTGGAGTCTGCCATTAAAAGATATTCATAATCTACCGACTCTGCTGGTAATAGACTGGGTTGTAGGTGGACAGCACTGCATCACTGAGTGTGTGTGTGCGCGCAAAGGGGGGGGGGGGGGGGGCGCAGTAGTGGTAGTGTCATGGTTAGCGTGCTTCGCTACGAATCCCGGGCCAACACCAGTGACGATTATCTGAACCGGTCCTGGACCTCCCCTAGCTCGACTCAGTTTCAAATGAGTACCTGGTGTGGTATGTAAACATTGCCACTGGGGAGACAAAAGCGGTGGGGCATATTGCTGGCTATCCATCCCCTCGTGTGCTGTGCTGGCCTTCATAGGTGCTGACAGCAATTTCTGCAACAGTTTGTTCACTCTATACGGGGATTTTTTTGTCTGGCAGGGGCGGTGAGGAAGGGTTGAAATAGTGGTTTTTGTATTGCACAAACTAGGCCCACCTGAGTTCAAATCCCTCTCATGGATAATAGCAGTGGCAAGTCGTGTCTGAACCTGTCCTGAGCCTTCCGTGGGTGAAGTTCGCATATATTGGTACAGGGCACTTGGTGTGTATTAGTGTTAAGATCAGCGCTGGGGAGACAGCGGTAGCTGGTCATTGCGGTGGCCACACCACTCCCTCACGAGACACTGTGCTCGATAGCAGCACTGGCTGTTATCCAAAAGACTTGGATAATCCTCGTCTTTTATGCATGTGTGTGTTCGGATATACGTGTGCTTATCCCAATGGATATCCGCATGTATATACATAATTTATTTTGTGTCGGTTGGTGTGGGTAGACCTATGTTTTTCCAGGCGCGTGCATGTGTGCGCGAGCATGAATATCATTGCATTTGTTAGATTTAATATGCGGTAATGCGATGTTTGGAGTTATTTTAGTAGGATGTGTCCGTAAATAATGCGTGGCATTTATGAATGTTTAAACGTGTTTTTTTATTCCTTAATAAATATTAATAACGGCAACATATTTTGTTCAGCTGTGCTGTTGGGCTCAGATTACAATTACGCGCTCTTGCCATTAAAATATGCAACGGGAGTTTGACGTGCGCTGGTGACGATGGTGACGAAGGACGTTTAGTAAGAGCCCATTGAGGTGAAATAATACATATTGTGCAGGGGAGAACCTGTGATAAATCAAACGCTTTGATGTGGAATTTGCAGTACTCATCTTCAGCGGAGAAAAAGGAATCGAGAGTCAATAAAAGACAGTGAGCAAGCAAGAAACTACAAAAGACGCGACACGAAATAAAATCGTTCGTACGCAAGGCTGAGCACGGAACGTATGTGTTCTTGGAAAGGCATTTTCTGCTGACTTTTGATAGCTATTGGTTAGGGAATAGTAATTTGGCAGGGGTGTTTCTTTGGCAAAGATTGACAATTGCCAACTGGTGTTGTACAGCTCGGCATTTTCCTAAAGTTTAGTCGCGTTAAAACTACAGCGAACACTCGTTTCAAAGGCCAATAACATCTTCGTATATAGAGGACTGCAGAGCTTTCGGGGGAAATTTGGCATCGGTCACCACCTGGCTGCCTTTCCTGTTTGTGGTTCTTCGGGCCCCTGAGTTGCTATCTTTCTTGAGAAACGATTGCATACTGTGTGGCGATGGCAGCGTGTTACACGTTGAATTTATTATTACTACGATAACAAATGATAGTACTGCATATGGATGGTGCTGCGGTTAACTTGACTTACAATCCCGAAATTTGCAGGTTTAAAAACTCGTTTTACTTAAATTCAGCCGCACTTCCCTTCAAAGTCATTCAATCGCTGCCACTTCAAGGGAGGTCAAAAGTTGACATCTATTGGACAGACAGGGAATATGGAATTGTTACAATTGCTCAGTGCTGCCTTGTTGAGATGAGGGGCCATTGTTTGTTTTCGCAGGGACACTTTAGATTAACATAATGTAATAGCTATTTTTTTATTAGGTTAATAAAATAAATAACAACAATTAAAATATTGAGTGCGGTATATTATTTATCGCATACAAATTATATCCTTTAGTTTTAGATCGACGAGTCAATGTGATTTTAATTGGATAATTTGAATTGTGGAGTGCTGTTGTTTGAAGGCGAAAATAATTTCAATGTTGATTTTTGTTACGTTTATTCGGGGATGATTATTAAAATCCTTTGTTTACCCGGGAAAGCCTCTCTGAGTCTCATGTGACTCAGCGAGGGGTCCTGCCAGGTGTTCGCGGAACTCGGCCATACCATTGATGCCTTGCGTTCACATCACACGATTCGAAATAGCGCGTTCGATGAATATACACTTATTTTTTTGTTATGGGCGCACTATTATTGAAATAACGGGCTCCTCCAGGTGTACGGAACGAGCTCATCGTTAGTCGGGTAGCAAAGTTCAGTGGCGGTGCGGCCCGAGGTGCAGCAGCAGTGCTGACAACAACCACCACAGGCACGGGCAGCATAAGTCAGCATCTCCTCCTCGCGCGCAAACTCTCCACGTGTTAAAACATGTTTTAGTTTTTCTTTATTTTTCCTTCTTCAAATAGGCTGCCACTATCTTTAATAGATGCACGGTAGTATCGTAGGTATATGCTACTGTAACCGGTGAAATATGTAGACGTAAGAGTGAGGTTCGATAGCGTGCTCTCCCTAACCCCAACCATTTCCTTTATTTCTTGCGGGAAAATACGTTTCCTTTTACGCGATTTTGAGTTACGCGTCAGATTTTCAAGAACGTAAAGGGGCACTGCCCACTTCCACAACACAACATGGAAACCCCATCCCTGTAAAGATCTGATGCTTTTTAAGAGGTGTAAACATTTTTATTTGGCAAATGCATATTTGAGATTGTTGTTGTAGCCAATAACTGCAATAATCTGAAAACAAACATGTGCCATATTTGCTTGTGCAAGTAGAATTTCACGAGCAATATTATGATTCGTAATTAGTTTATTTGTGCTTAGATCGTGCAGGTATCAATTGTTAACTATAACCCTCAGCCATCTGGCAGATTCAATCAAATCAAGTTGTCATGTGGGACAAATATGCCAATTGATTTGTTTTTTCTGCAAAGCAGAATGTCGAAAAGCAAACGATTTTTTTCATATCGACCCAATGCTTTCCTAGAAACCCCGTCGTAAGTCGGATTGTTGTAAATGAGTCTTTTTTTCCCATAGACAGTAGAGACAGTAGAAACATCACTTGCCGATATGTTGTTCCTTTTATCGGCCATATTTAACAGGGTTTGATAGGTGGAAATCCACAAAAAAAGACTTGAGAGTAGCAAAAAACTCCACGCCAAGTCACTTCGGAGGAGTCGTGTCAGAAGAGGGGTTGTAAATAAAGTTTCTACGATGTAAACTGATCCAGGCTAGGAATTATAGAAACATCGTGAATGTGAATCACCGTAAATCGGACCGTCTGTAAACTAGAGACTGCATGTATTCCAATCGCGTCATTTGCGGACCCCGATAAGCAATGGCCTACTCTTTTAAATGACCTCATAGGATCTTTAACGTCCACGGTGAAGCAGATGACGCATCAGTTAACCCCCCCCCCCCCCACAATTCCCTTATTGCTGCCCTACTTTCCCAACTACACTGGCTCCCTGTCCACTGTCGCATTGCTCACCAGAGTCTATAAATCACTCCACGGTCTTGCCCCACCCCTTATCGTCCTTCTCTCATATCTTACTACCCCCATCTCTTCTCTCTTGCCCATCCTACTCCTACTCCATGCCCCAGCACCCCATCTACAACCAGGCCTAC